AAAGTGGATGCTGAGATATACACGCATTTTGATGAGTTTTGTTGGTATCGAAACAATGGATGTATCCGATAGCAACATCTGGCGGACTTCAGACGTGAACATGTTTGAAGTTCTAAATGAGTCGCGACAGAAGATGTTTTGCGAGTGATGTACATAAGATGCCCGATACCAACACAATCGAACGTTCATCGACAAGACAATCCAAAAGATCAATTTCAGTTCATTCTCGATGAAGTGAAATATTCATTTTATCAGTATCATACCTAAACCAGACTCGCAACCACAAGTGGAAACGAAGCTGTCAATCTATGGGTACTTGTGCGTGTCGGTTTGACGTGTCAAGCGCATGATATCATTTCCTGCCCTCCTCGTTTTCGTCTTTCGTCTTCTTACCAGCCCCAGCCCCAGCCCCCCACCCCAACCAAGGCCGCCACAACAGCCCCAGCCTCTGCCCCATCCTCCACCCCAGCCAAGTCCACCCCAAGGTCCACCGCCCCAGAAATGCTCCTTCTTGTCTCCATCAGGAGTCGTCATCGAAGTACCAGGTGCTGTTTCCACTGGCATAGTCGCTGAGCGCAAAGCAGGTTGGTCGGCACCAGAGACGTTGGCGATAGCGATTGCGGCAACGACGGCAAGTGCGGAGATCTTCATCATCTTGAAACTCGGGTGTACTTGTGCTCGTCAAAGCAAGTTGAGATGTATATTCATCTTCGCTGTCTTCAAATTTCCTTTCATGTCAGAGAAGTCTGATCTTTCTTTATCTTGCAAAATGTGCAAGAACTTTCCTTGCCATCACGGTTGACGTTGATTGAGGTGATATGTATAGTCAAATGAGTTTGTACCCACCTCGACTGACGAAAGACAAAACAAATCGGTCTTTTTACTGGGATACGTTGCATCCGTCGAATATGCCAACACAACGTTTCATAGGAAGTCAATGTTTTCTACTGGGATACGTCGTATTCGTCTCACTCGGGATCGTCACAACATAGCATACAAACATCACATACATACGTCTATTCTGTCAAAAACACAATGCAAAATTGCTGCTCGAGTAAGCCATGAATGAACGTTGGCTCGAAGTGCACAGAAGATGAAAGCATTCAAATATATCGACAAAGAGTATATCACGTATAATAAATGAGCACGTTATTACACTACGAGTGTGACAAGCAAACACGTTGTTATGCATCTTTTCATTGCTATTTGCGGATGTTTCGAGCATTGGGATGCCCCAAAAGTGGATGCTGACATATACACGCATTTTGATGAGTTTTGTTGGTATCGAAACAATGGATGTATCCGATAGCAACATCTGGCGGACTTCAGACGTGAACATGTTTGAAGTTCTAAATGAGGCGCGACAGAGGATCTTTTGCGAGTGATGTACATAAGATGCCCGATACTAACACAATCGAACGTTCATCGACAAGACAATCCAAAAGATCAATTTCAGTTCATTCTCGTTGAAGTGAAATGTTCATTTTATCAGTATCATACCTAAAACACACTCGCAACCACAAGTGGAAACGAAGCTGCCAATCTATGGGTGCCGTTGTGCCGTGTCGGTTTGCACGTGTCGAGCGCATGATATCATTTCCTGCCCTCCTCGTGTTCGTCATTCTTCTTCTTCCAGCCCCAGCCCCAGCCCCCCACCCCAACCAAGGCCGCCACAACAGCCCCACCGCCCCATCCTCCACCCCAGCCAAGTCCACCCCAAGGTCCGCCGCCCCAGAAGTGCTCCTTCTTGTCTCCATCAGGAGTCGTCATCGAAGTACTAGGTGCTGTTTCCACTGGCATAGCCGCTGAGCGCAAAGCAGGTTGGTCGGCACCAGAGACGTTGGCGATAGCAATTGCGGCAACGACGGCAAGTGCGGAGATCTTCGTCATCTTGAAACTCGGGTGTACTTGTGCTCGTCAAAGCAAGTTGCGATGTATGTTCATCTTCGCTGTCTTCAAATTCCCTTTCATGTCAGAGAAGTCTGATTCTTTATCTTGCAAAATGTGCAAGAACTTTCCTTGCCATCGCGGTTAACGTTGATTGAGGTGATATGTATAGTCAAATGAGTTTGTACCCACCTCGACTGACGAAAGACAAAACAAATGGGTCTTTTTACTGGGATACGTTGCATCCGCCGAATATGCCAACCCAACGTTTCATAGGAAGTCGATGTTTTCTACTGGGATACGTCGTATTCGTCTCACTCGGGATCGTCACAACATACGCATACGGTACGTCACATACATACGTCTATTCTGTCAAAAACTACAATGCAAAATTGCCGCTCGAGTAAGCCATGAATGAACGTTGGCTCGAAGTGCACAGATAGATGAAAGCATTCAAATGTATCGACAAAGAGTATATCACGTATCGTAAATGAGTACGTTATTACACTACGAGTGTGACAAGCAAACACGTTGTTATGCATCTTTTCATTGCTATTTGCGGATGTTTCGAGCATTGGGATGCCCCAAAAGTGGATGCTGACATATACACGCATTTTGATGAGTTTTGTTGGTATCGAAACAATGGATGTATCCGATAGCAACATCTGGCGGACTTCAGACGTGAACATGTTTGAAGTTCTAAATGAGTCGCGACAGAAGATCTTTTGCGAGTGATGTACATAAGATGCCCGATACCAACACAATCGAACGTTCATCGACAAGACAATCCAAAAGATCAATTTCAGTTCATTCTCGATGAAGTGAAATATTCATTTTATCAGTATCATACCTAAACCAGACTCGCAACCACAAGTGGAAACGAAGCTGTCAATCTATGGGTACCGTTGTGCGTGTCGGTTTGACGTGTCAAGCGCATGATATCATTTCCTGCCCTCCTCGTTTTCGTCTTTCGTCTTCTTACCAGCCCCAGCCCCAGCCCCCCACCCCAACCAAGGCCGCCACAACAGCCCCATTGCCCCATCCTCCACCCCAGCCAAGTCCACCCCAAGGTCCGCCGCCCCAGAAATGCTCCTTCTTGTCTCCATCAGGAGTCGTCATCGAAGTACCAGGTGCTGTTTCCACTGGCATAGTCGCTGAGCGCAAAGCAGGTTGGTCGGCACCAGAGACGTTGGCGATAGCGATTGCGGCAACGACGGCAAGTGCGGAGATCTTCATCATCTTGAAACTCGGGTGTACTTGTGCTCGTCAAAGCAAGTTGAGATGTATATTCATCTTCGCTGTCTTCAAATTTCCTTTCATGTCAGAGAAGTCTGATCTTTCTTTATCTTGCAAAATGTGCAAGAACTTTCCTTGCCATCACGGTTGACGTTGATTGAAGTGATATGTATAGTCAAATGAGTTTGTACCCACCTCGACTGACGAAAGACAAAACAAATCGGTCTTTTTACTGGGATACGTTGCATCCGTCGAATATGCCAACACAACGTTTCATAGGAAGTCAATGTTTTCTACTGGGATACGTCGTATTCGTCTCACTCGGGATCGTCACAACATACATACAAACGTACATCACATACATACGTCTATTCTGTCAAAAACACAATGCAAAATTGCTGCTCGAGTAAGCCATGAATGAACGTTGGCTCGAAGTGCACAGAAGATGAAAGCATTCAAATATATCGACAAAGAGTATATCACGTATAATAAATGAGCACGTTATTACACTACGAGTGTGACAAGCAAACACGTTGTTATGCATCTTTTCATTGCTACTTGCGGATGTTTCAAGCATTGGGATGCCCCAAAAGTGGATGCTGAGATATACACGCATTTTGATGAGTTTTGTTGGTATCGAAACAATGGATGTATCCGATAGCAACATCTGGCGGACTTCAGACGTGAACATGTTTGAAGTTCTAAATGAGTCGCGACAGAAGATGTTTTGCGAGTGATGTACATAAGATGCCCGATACCAACACAATCGAACGTTCATCGACAAGACAATCCAAAAGATCAATTTCAGTTCATTCTCGATGAAGTGAAATATTCATTTTATCAGTATCATACCTAAACCAGACTCGCAACCACAAGTGGAAACGAAGCTGTCAATCTATGGGTACGTTGTGCGTGTCGGTTTGACGTGTCAAGCGCATGATATCATTTCCTGCCCTCCTCGTTTTCGTCTTTCGTCTTCTTACCAGCCCCAGCCCCAGCCCCCCACCCCAACCAAGGCCGCCACAACAGCCCCAGCCTCTGCCCCATCCTCCACCCCAGCCAAGTCCACCCCAAGGTCCACCGCCCCAGAAATGCTCCTTCTTGTCTCCATCAGGAGTCGTCATCGAAGTACCAGGTGCTGTTTCCACTGGCATAGTCGCTGAGCGCAAAGCAGGTTGGTCGGCACCAGAGACGTTGGCGATAGCGATTGCGGCAACGACGGCAAGTGCGGAGATCTTCATCATCTTGAAACTCGGGTGTACTTGTGCTCGTCAAAGCAAGTTGAGATGTATATTCATCTTCGCTGTCTTCAAATTTCCTTTCATGTCAGAGAAGTCTGATCTTTCTTTATCTTGCAAAATGTGCAAGAACTTTCCTTGCCATCACGGTTGACGTTGATTGAAGTGATATGTATAGTCAAATGAGTTTGTACCCACCTCGACTGACGAAAGACAAAACAAATCGGTCTTTTTACTGGGATACGTTGCATCCGTCGAATATGCCAACACAACGTTTCATAGGAAGTCAATGTTTTCTACTGGGATACGTCGTATTCGTCTCACTCGGGTCGTCACAACATACATACAAACATACATACATACATACGTCTATTCTGTCAAAAACACAATGCAAAATTACTGCTCGAGTAAGCCATGAATGAACGATGGCTCGAAGTGAAATGAAAGCATTCAAATATATCGACAAAGAGTATATCACGTATAATAAATGAGCACGTTATTACACTACGAGTGTGACAAGCAAACACGTTGTTATGCATCTTTTCATTGCTACTTGCGGATGTTTCAAGCATTGGGATGCCCCAAAAGTGGATGCTGAGATATACACGCATTTTGATGAGTTTTGTTGGTATCGAAACAATGGATGTATCGGATAGCAACATCTGGCGGACTTCAGACGTGAACATGTTTGAAGTTCTAAATGAGTCGCGACAGAAGATGTTATGCGAGTGATGTACATAAGATGCCCGATACCAACACAATCGACGTTCATCGACAAGACAATCCAAAAGATCAATTTCAGTTCATTCTCGATGAAGTGAAATATTCATTTTATCAGTATCATACCTAAACCAGACTCGCAACCACAAGTGGAAACGAAGCTGTCAATCTATGGGTACGTGTGCGTGTCGGTTTGACGTGTCAAGCGCATGATATCATTTCCTGCCCTCCTCGTTTTCGTCTTTCGTCTTCTTACCAGCCCCAGCCCCAGCCCCCCACCCCAACCAAGACCGCCACAACAGCCCCAGCCTCTGCCCCATCCTCCACCCCAGCCAAGTCCACCCCAAGGTCCACCGCCCCAGAAATGCTCCTTCTTGTCTCCATCAGGAGTCGTCATCGTACCAGGTGCTGTTTCCACTGGCATAGTCGCTGAGCGCAAAGCAGGTTGGTCGGCACCAGAGACGTTGGCGATAGCGATTGCGGCAACGACGGCAAGTGCGGAGATCTTCATCATCTTGAAACTCGGGTGTACTTGTGCTCGTCAAAGCAAGTTGAGATGTATATTCATCTTCGCTGTCTTCAAATTTCCTTTCATGTCAGAGAAGTCTGATCTTTCTTTATCTTGCAAAATGTGCAAGAACTTTCCTTGCCATCACGGTTGACGTTGATTGAAGTGATATGTATAGTCAAATGAGTTTGTACCCACCTCGACTGACGAAAGACAAAACAAATCGGTCTTTTTACTGGGATACGTTGCATCCGTCGAATATGCCAACACAACGTTTCATAGGAAGTCAATGTTTTCTACTGGGATACGTCGTATTCGTCTCACTCGGTCGTCACAACATACATACAAACATACATACATACATACGTCTATTCTGTCAAAAACACAATGCAAAATTACTGCTCGAGTAAGCCATGAATGAACGATGGCTCGAAGTGTGAAGCATTCAAATATATCGACAAAGAGTATATCACGTATAATAAATGAGCACGTTATTACACTACGAGTGTGACAAGCAAACACGTTGTTATGCATCTTTTCATTGCTACTTGCGGATGTTTCAAGCATTGGGATGCCCCAAAAGTGGATGCTGAGATATACACGCATTTTGATGAGTTTTGTTGGTATCGAAACAATGGATGTATCGGATAGCAACATCTGGCGGACTTCAGACGTGAACATGTTTGAAGTTCTAAATGAGTCGCGACAGAAGATGTTATGCGAGTGATGTACATAAGATGCCGATACCAACACAATCGACGTTCATCGACAAGACAATCCAAAAGATCAATTTCAGTTCATTCTCGATGAAGTGAAATATTCATTTTATCAGTATCATACCTAAACCAGACTCGCAACCACAAGTGGAAACGAAGCTGTCAATCTATGGGTACTGTGCGTGTCGGTTTGACGTGTCAAGCGCATGATATCATTTCCTGCCCTCCTCGTTTTCGTCTTTCGTCTTCTTACCAGCCCCAGCCCCAGCCCCCCACCCCAACCAAGACCGCCACAACAGCCCCAGCCTCTGCCCCATCCTCCACCCCAGCCAAGTCCACCCCAAGGTCCACCGCCCCAGAAATGCTCCTTCTTGTCTCCATCAGGAGTCGTCATCGTACCAGGTGCTGTTTCCACTGGCATAGTCGCTGAGCGCAAAGCAGGTTGGTCGGCACCAGAGACGTTGGCGATAGCGATTGCGGCAACGACGGCAAGTGCGGAGATCTTCATCATCTTGAAACTCGGGTGTACTTGTGCTCGTCAAAGCAAGTTGAGATGTATATTCATCTTCGCTGTCTTCAAATTTCCTTTCATGTCAGAGAAGTCTGATCTTTCTTTATCTTGCAAAATGTGCAAGAACTTTCCTTGCCATCACGGTTGACGTTGATTGAAGTGATATGTATAGTCAAATGAGTTTGTACCCACCTCGACTGACGAAAGACAAAACAAATCGGTCTTTTTACTGGGATACGTTGCATCCGTCGAATATGCCAACACAACGTTTCATAGGAAGTCAATGTTTTCTACTGGGATACGTCGTATTCGTCTCACTCGGTCGTCACAACATACATACAAACATACATACATACATACGTCTATTCTGTCAAAAACACAATGCAAAATTACTGCTCGAGTAAGCCATGAATGAACGATGGCTCGAAGTGTGAAGCATTCAAATATATCGACAAAGAGTATATCACGTATAATAAATGAGCACGTTATTACACTACGAGTGTGACAAGCAAACACGTTGTTATGCATCTTTTCATTGCTACTTGCGGATGTTTCAAGCATTGGGATGCCCCAAAAGTGGATGCTGAGATATACACGCATTTTGATGAGTTTTGTTGGTATCGAAACAATGGATGTATCGGATAGCAACATCTGGCGGACTTCAGACGTGAACATGTTTGAAGTTCTAAATGAGTCGCGACAGAAGATGTTATGCGAGTGATGTACATAAGATGCCGATACCAACACAATCGACGTTCATCGACAAGACAATCCAAAAGATCAATTTCAGTTCATTCTCGATGAAGTGAAATATTCATTTTATCAGTATCATACCTAAACCAGACTCGCAACCACAAGTGGAAACGAAGCTGTCAATCTATGGGTACTGTGCGTGTCGGTTTGACGTGTCAAGCGCATGATATCATTTCCTGCCCTCCTCGTTTTCGTCTTTCGTCTTCTTACCAGCCCCAGCCCCAGCCCCCCACCCCAACCAAGACCGCCACAACAGCCCCAGCCTCTGCCCCATCCTCCACCCCAGCCAAGTCCACCCCAAGGTCCACCGCCCCAGAAATGCTCCTTCTTGTCTCCATCAGGAGTCGTCATCGTACCAGGTGCTGTTTCCACTGGCATAGTCGCTGAGCGCAAAGCAGGTTGGTCGGCACCAGAGACGTTGGCGATAGCGATTGCGGCAACGACGGCAAGTGCGGAGATCTTCATCATCTTGAAACTCGGGTGTACTTGTGCTCGTCAAAGCAAGTTGAGATGTATATTCATCTTCGCTGTCTTCAAATTTCCTTTCATGTCAGAGAAGTCTGATCTTTCTTTATCTTGCAAAATGTGCAAGAACTTTCCTTGCCATCACGGTTGACGTTGATTGAAGTGATATGTATAGTCAAATGAGTTTGTACCCACCTCGACTGACGAAAGACAAAACAAATCGGTCTTTTTACTGGGATACGTTGCATCCGTCGAATATGCCAACACAACGTTTCATAGGAAGTCAATGTTTTCTACTGGGATACGTCGTATTCGTCTCACTCGGTCGTCACAACATACATACAAACATACATACATACATACGTCTATTCTGTCAAAAACACAATGCAAAATTACTGCTCGAGTAAGCCATGAATGAACGATGGCTCGAAGTGTGAAGCATTCAAATATATCGACAAAGAGTATATCACGTATAATAAATGAGCACGTTATTACACTACGAGTGTGACAAGCAAACACGTTGTTATGCATCTTTTCATTGCTACTTGCGGATGTTTCAAGCATTGGGATGCCCCAAAAGTGGATGCTGAGATATACACGCATTTTGATGAGTTTTGTTGGTATCGAAACAATGGATGTATCGGATAGCAACATCTGGCGGACTTCAGACGTGAACATGTTTGAAGTTCTAAATGAGTCGCGACAGAAGATGTTATGCGAGTGATGTACATAAGATGCCGATACCAACACAATCGACGTTCATCGACAAGACAATCCAAAAGATCAATTTCAGTTCATTCTCGATGAAGTGAAATATTCATTTTATCAGTATCATACCTAAACCAGACTCGCAACCACAAGTGGAAACGAAGCTGTCAATCTATGGGTACTGTGCGTGTCGGTTTGACGTGTCAAGCGCATGATATCATTTCCTGCCCTCCTCGTTTTCGTCTTTCGTCTTCTTACCAGCCCCAGCCCCAGCCCCCCACCCCAACCAAGACCGCCACAACAGCCCCAGCCTCTGCCCCATCCTCCACCCCAGCCAAGTCCACCCCAAGGTCCACCGCCCCAGAAATGCTCCTTCTTGTCTCCATCAGGAGTCGTCATCGTACCAGGTGCTGTTTCCACTGGCATAGTCGCTGAGCGCAAAGCAGGTTGGTCGGCACCAGAGACGTTGGCGATAGCGATTGCGGCAACGACGGCAAGTGCGGAGATCTTCATCATCTTGAAACTCGGGTGTACTTGTGCTCGTCAAAGCAAGTTGAGATGTATATTCATCTTCGCTGTCTTCAAATTTCCTTTCATGTCAGAGAAGTCTGATCTTTCTTTATCTTGCAAAATGTGCAAGAACTTTCCTTGCCATCACGGTTGACGTTGATTGAAGTGATATGTATAGTCAAATGAGTTTGTACCCACCTCGACTGACGAAAGACAAAACAAATCGGTCTTTTTACTGGGATACGTTGCATCCGTCGAATATGCCAACACAACGTTTCATAGGAAGTCAATGTTTTCTACTGGGATACGTCGTATTCGTCTCACTCGGTCGTCACAACATACATACAATACATACATACATACGTCTATTCTGTCAAAAACACAATGCAAAATTACTGCTCGAGTAAGCCATGAATGAACGATGGCTCGAAGTGTGAAGCATTCAAATATATCGACAAAGAGTATATCACGTATAATAAATGAGCACGTTATTACACTACGAGTGTGACAAGCAAACACGTTGTTATGCATCTTTTCATTGCTACTTGCGGATGTTTCAAGCATTGGGATGCCCCAAAAGTGGATGCTGAGATATACACGCATTTTGATGAGTTTTGTTGGTATCGAAACAATGGATGTATCGGATAGCAACATCTGGCGGACTTCAGACGTGAACATGTTTGAAGTTCTAAATGAGTCGCGACAGAAGATGTTATGCGAGTGATGTACATAAGATGCCGATACCAACACAATCGACGTTCATCGACAAGACAATCCAAAAGATCAATTTCAGTTCATTCTCGATGAAGTGAAATATTCATTTTATCAGTATCATACCTAAACCAGACTCGCAACCACAAGTGGAAACGAAGCTGTCAATCTATGGGTACTGTGCGTGTCGGTTTGACGTGTCAAGCGCATGATATCATTTCCTGCCCTCCTCGTTTTCGTCTTTCGTCTTCTTACCAGCCCCAGCCCCAGCCCCCCACCCCAACCAAGACCGCCACAACAGCCCCAGCCTCTGCCCCATCCTCCACCCCAGCCAAGTCCACCCCAAGGTCCACCGCCCCAGAAATGCTCCTTCTTGTCTCCATCAGGAGTCGTCATCGTACCAGGTGCTGTTTCCACTGGCATAGTCGCTGAGCGCAAAGCAGGTTGGTCGGCACCAGAGACGTTGGCGATAGCGATTGCGGCAACGACGGCAAGTGCGGAGATCTTCATCATCTTGAAACTCGGGTGTACTTGTGCTCGTCAAAGCAAGTTGAGATGTATATTCATCTTCGCTGTCTTCAAATTTCCTTTCATGTCAGAGAAGTCTGATCTTTCTTTATCTTGCAAAATGTGCAAGAACTTTCCTTGCCATCACGGTTGACGTTGATTGAAGTGATATGTATAGTCAAATGAGTTTGTACCCACCTCGACTGACGAAAGACAAAACAAATCGGTCTTTTTACTGGGATACGTTGCATCCGTCGAATATGCCAACACAACGTTTCATAGGAAGTCAATGTTTTCTACTGGGATACGTCGTATTCGTCTCACTCGGTCGTCACAACATACATACAAACATACATACATACATACGTCTATTCTGTCAAAAACACAATGCAAAATTACTGCTCGAGTAAGCCATGAATGAACGATGGCTCGAAGTGTGAAGCATTCAAATATATCGACAAAGAGTATATCACGTATAATAAATGAGCACGTTATTACACTACGAGTGTGACAAGCAAACACGTTGTTATGCATCTTTTCATTGCTACTTGCGGATGTTTCAAGCATTGGGATGCCCCAAAAGTGGATGCTGAGATATACACGCATTTTGATGAGTTTTGTTGGTATCGAAACAATGGATGTATCGGATAGCAACATCTGGCGGACTTCAGACGTGAACATGTTTGAAGTTCTAAATGAGTCGCGACAGAAGATGTTATGCGAGTGATGTACATAAGATGCCGATACCAACACAATCGACGTTCATCGACAAGACAATCCAAAAGATCAATTTCAGTTCATTCTCGATGAAGTGAAATATTCATTTTATCAGTATCATACCTAAACCAGACTCGCAACCACAAGTGGAAACGAAGCTGTCAATCTATGGGTACTGTGCGTGTCGGTTTGACGTGTCAAGCGCATGATATCATTTCCTGCCCTCCTCGTTTTCGTCTTTCGTCTTCTTACCAGCCCCAGCCCCAGCCCCCCACCCCAACCAAGACCGCCACAACAGCCCCAGCCTCTGCCCCATCCTCCACCCCAGCCAAGTCCACCCCAAGGTCCACCGCCCCAGAAATGCTCCTTCTTGTCTCCATCAGGAGTCGTCATCGTACCAGGTGCTGTTTCCACTGGCATAGTCGCTGAGCGCAAAGCAGGTTGGTCGGCACCAGAGACGTTGGCGATAGCGATTGCGGCAACGACGGCAAGTGCGGAGATCTTCATCATCTTGAAACTCGGGTGTACTTGTGCTCGTCAAAGCAAGTTGAGATGTAGTATTCATCTTCGCTGTCTTCAAATTTCCTTTCATGTCAGAGAAGTCTGATTTTCTTTATCTTGCAAAATGT